ACAATTATTTGTCTTTTAGAAGAAAACTCTTCCTCATAAATTTAAAGGTCATATCTGCCCTAGAAGACATTTGAAAATAAAAACACTTTGCTCGAAAGGAAGGGCTTAGTTTCCAATTATAGATATCCAGAAATTGTTTATTTTCTTTATTCTGTAACTTACACAGCAGCATAAGTGCTGTCAATTGGTTTCTTCTTGCACTGCCATTCACCGTTTTGTCATTCACCAATTTAAAAGATACGTTATCCAAAAAAAGTTGCAGATTGATGCTTTAGGCTCAGTGGATTGAAAAGGTCGTGTGACTGCCGTCCCTGATCTCACATGTGCTATATCACATAATTCCTTTCAGAATTCTTTTTGTTGCATACTTAACGTCTTTAGACTTTATTCCCACAGTCTTATTTGGGAATATGTTCTAGAACATCATTTTTGATGGCAAAGATGCTCCTCTAACTTGCTAACCTGAATGTTTTCCTTTGCCAATTTGTAGCTATTTGTTGCTGCAGCAAAGCTGCCTGTAAGCTTAAGTTGCTCTTTTTCTCTCTTTTCTCTCCTGGAATGTAATCTCCTGCTGTGCTTCAAACCAGTAATCACATGTCTTTTCAGTGATTATTTCAGGTAGCCTGAAGAAATCATGCTACCGTAGGCATTTCTCATTAGAATCCACTCCCCTAGTTATCGTAAAGGCTTTTCCAGTTTTGATTTGTCTTCTGTGAATGCAGTGACCAAACTTGTAAACCATGTTTTAAAATCAGATCTTACTAGTATTTCATAAAATTGCACTAGTTGTTCTTGATTACTACTATAAATAGAGAGTATTGCATGACTGAAGTTGTCAGTCATTCCCTAATGAAGAGCTTGTGGCTTGCACCTGAAGTTATGCATGACTATTTTATTTCTGTTATTTTAATCTATTGTGTTACTCCAGGACTTATGCATGTTTTAATCTTATCTTCTGAAAACTTAATATTTCCCATTTGTATGTCATCTGTTATTATGCCAAATTCACTAATTAGAATATTAAATTAAGGACAGATTTGGGGAGATTTTCCATTGTAAGCTCTCAAGTGTTAAAGCTGCCTTCCACCTTTTTGTTATTACTCAGTCAGCTAGATCTTTTACTAATGACCATTTTTTCCAGCTTTCACTAATAATTTAATATGCCATTAAGTCAAATGCTGAAGACTAGATAAATGAGAGAGAACTTCTGTAGGCAAATAAAGAGCAATGTATCATATTACAGAAACTATAAAGCTAATCTGTTCTCTCTGGAAAACCTAAAATGTTCATCTAATCTGATATTCTGCCTTTGTGCCTCTAATTATTCTTTCTTTCCAAATTTATCCGAAAGGCCTTGCATGCTACCAGGTGAACACTATTATGCTTTTTCCTCCCCATGTTTTTGTTTTTCTTATATATAAATTCTATGTTTACCTTTCTTTAAAAAAAAAAATTTATCTAGTCATTCTAAGTAGCAAATTAAATTCCTAGAGATTTGCCATTTGCTTCCACCTCAACTGTGAGAACTTTACATTAGCCAATACAGCATTAGTCATCCGTGGTCAATTTTTTATCCTGTCTTTGTTCCAGGGGTTAGTACTATTATCTGCATTAAAACTGAAGTGAAGTAATCTTTCAGCTTGACCACGTTGAGATTGTCCTAGATCTCTCACCATAGTCACCATTCTGTTTGTAGTTCCGTCTTTCCTCCCTCTCCCCCCAGCCTTTTTTACATTCAAATCTTCAATTTCTGGTAGTAATTATATAGTTTAGCAAAGATCTCGTGTTTGAAATTGGCAGTTCAATTAGAGTTACTGATGTTAAGAATTTCATGTAGCACAGTAAACCTTTCACATTTGTGGTCATATTTTTCTATGATCAGTTCATCTATAATGTGTTTTTATTTATAAAAACAAAGCCTAAAGTCTGGAGCATTACCTTTATAGACAGCAAACTTGTTTTCAGATATCGCTATTTCTCAGAAGCATTCATAAGTGGATGCAGCTAGTTCCAGTCTTTTCCACTTACTTTCCTGTTATGGTCCATTTTAATTCCATTTTCTTTTTCCCTTCTATTCTCCTCCCTACCACCGGTCAAAAATTACGATCAGGTTTAGGTCCCACAATCTTACTATGGTTGCCTGATCATCTCAGATGTCACTTTTTTCATTCACTGTATCATTCTTTTTTCTGTCGGTGCCTCTCAGCTGGCTGAGGGCTTCTCAGCAGTGTAAGAAATAATATTATTATTATTCTACAGAAGTAGTAGCTTATTTTTGTTCTCATAATCATTGAGAGTGGCTGCAATAAGCTGCATAATACTGGCAAAATTGGAGGGTTGTGGGACCTGTGAGAGGAGGAGTCTTACTGTAACCTCCTAAAATTGTGCCTATTTTCCACACTGACTGCATATACTAAAACAAATCTGTAGTAGAATGTTAATGTGAAATACAAATGAAACCAAGGCAGTCTTGTAGATATCTCACCAGTTAATGATTATGAAAAATTTTTGCCTTTCCAGTTGCATTTAATACCTGTAGTATTAATCTGGCTCCTTGCTAAGCCTAATCAAAGACTTTAGAGGGCTAGTCATAAAATGGAAAAGAACTTGAAAAAGGTTTTTTTGCGTACACGGATACACTTGCTATCTCCGTTTAATGCCTGGGACTAGCGTGGAAAAGAAGGAATGGGGGGAAAATGACTTGTACCAGGTCAAACACCTATTCTTGTGTGCAGTGGGAGAAATCTAAAAGAGAAATAACGTAAATGTCCACTGACCATTTCTATGGTTTAGAAACTTCTCATATGTTTTGGCTTTATTTCTGATTTGTGTCTACATGTTGCTGTAGGAAGTACAGAAAACAAAACAATAAGTCAAAATAAGCATAAATATCTGAAATACCTCAGCAAAAGCTGTTGGGAAAAGCTGGACTTTCTGTTGAATGTTTTTTAAGAATTTTAACAAAGTCTGACCAAAAATGCAATTCTCTGTCCAGTTCCCATTTAATCACCTGACAGCTTTGATTAAGACGCAATGTTGAGATCAGCTTGTTTTTAAGTTTTACTTTGAAGAGTTTGTACTATGGTCCACAGTTTCCTGACTTCATATCTCTTTCTATACTGTATCTTTTGGAATTCCAAAAATAGAGTTTTCTAAGAATTAGTAGGTAGAATAGCATACTCAAAAAATGGAAAAGAGAAGAAATGGAAAGCTGCATAAACATTTATGAACTATTTAAGGAATTTTGTCTGTTAAAATAAACTCTGCCAATTCTATTTTAATTAACATTGAAAGATGTAATTTTTCTAAGTATAAGATATTCTAACATGTTAACTACCTCTATGAGTATTACAGTCATACTTACTACTCATTAAATTTTTCAGATCAACGTGGAGTGTATTAGTTTGGTCATAGTGCTTTCACAGATCTTTGATTTAGAAAACAGATTTAATGCAGAACCAGAAATAAATCAGTGAATAACCATATGTAGGATAAGGAACACAGCAAAATAATTATGGGTATGCTTTAGACCAGATTCTGGCCTTGTATATTTGAGTGGGAAACTAGAGGATCTAATTTTAGATGAAATCTAATTCTAGCTGGCACTTCAGAGTCTTCTGCTGGTTGCTGCTTTTGCTCTGCTCCCTTTTATGTTACCCTGACTATAACTTTATTATATGTCGCTTATTATACATCAGTGTAGTTTAAACCATTATATATAACTTAAATTTACAAAGTAGTTCTACTGATGATCATCATGTAGAAATCTGAACCAGGTACTGTTTTACAATTGGATGTGGTCCAATAAATCTAAATAAATAAATCAAATTTCTCCATTACATTAAAAACCTGCCTTTTATCATGAACGTTTGAGGGTCAGATCTCTTGAATGTACTGTAAGCCTCCTACACTTTTTGAGTGAGTCAGGTAGAAGTGCTTTACCAAAATGCAAGTCTTTTGCATGAAGTAATTATCATCCCACTCTGGGGAAATTTATATTAACTTAAAGTCGCAGAGATTTCAATAAAATGTCCACCTCCCACCTGTTGAGTCTGGTCTATTTTAACTTTGTATTTTTACTTAGATGTGTGAGCAGAACAAGAATCATTCAAAAATAGTTTTTTAATGTATTGCAGTACTTTGGCCTCTATTTCTTGTGTTGGTGCATGCTGCTATCAACCATTATTAACAGAACATACTGAAACACAAAGGAAGTTAAGGACTTAAATACAGGAAAAGTAGTCTTTCTACTCAGCTTTCCGTAATGCATTATGAAGTACAGCAGTTTAAGGACTACAGGTTAGCTTGCGTATGAAAAAAAACAAGAGAAAGATTTATCAGAAATAGCAGTCAGCTTTTAAGAAATGCTATGCCATTGACTTCTACTGAAGGATTTTTTCCCTTCTCTATTTCCTTCCCTTAACTGAAGAAATCCATGGTATATTGGTATAGGCGTAGCCATTCCATATGAAAACTGGCATATGGAATAGATAAAAAGTAAGATAGCAAGAAAAAGAGTATTTAAGGATTTAAGGCGTCATAAAGGTAGGAGACAATATTTAAAATACTTGCAGTGCTATAATGTTTAGCTTTGTGCCTTTCAGCTTCATCAGATTTTCCATGCGTATTAAATAAATAAATAAATAAATAGACCTGCTTCTACTTCAAGAAAGACATAAGAATTTTAGCAGTGAAACAGCAGTCATTCATCAGCAGCTATCTATCTGCATACTGAAGGTGTCATCAATAATGCACAAGATAACATCTCTAAGTTGAAAGCACAGTAGAATTGGCATCAATTTTGCTTAATAGAGCATCATACACAAAATAGACAGTGATAACTGAAGAACTGACAGCATCCATTATATTAAAACATATATGTCTCTTATTTGGAAGTGTTATATAAATCTGACACCATTTTTACTTTTTTTTTTTTTTTTATCTTCCATAGTCTGACTTCAATTGCACTGAAATTAATTTTGTTTTTCTCTTGTTTTCAGAGGGTGATGAGACAGGAGTGATGGATAATCTGCTTGAGGCCTTGCAGTCAGGAGCAGCATTCAGAGATCGCAGGAAACGAACACCAAGAAGCCAGGGTAAGGAGGAAAAAAAAATCCACAGACTTGCTTTTTTTTCCCTACTCAATTCAAAAGTATTAGAAGTGTGAAGGCAAAAGTTATTTTGTACAGACTTGCGACAGTTTTCACTGAAAGTTGGTCATTGAGCTACTGTGAAATCTCAGCAGACTGTTTTGTGATGACAAATTTTTTTACCTGATAACGGTATCTTCAGTTAACTATAAACTCCAAAAGTGGTATAACAAGAGTTCCTGCTGTGTTTGATATGGCATTTAAAAAAATCACTGCAGTTTGAATGCATGTATGTTATCTTAATCTTTAAATTTGTAAGTATAATTAGTTTGATGTAGATGGCGCTGTGAAAAACATTAGCTCCTTATCACCAGTAAGAATTTAGACATAGAGCTGATAGTCTTTTTAAAGCACTGGTTGTGGGCATGTTCTGGTTTGGTTAGAAATTACGCTGTGTGTAGTCATAAAAGCCACATTACAATGAAGTAGCTTCATTTTCTTGAGGCAATAGTATTGTACAGATGTCGTCTGAACAATTACTGCTTCCTGCACATGTAATTTTGATGAGAAAATTTGCAAAAGGGCTAAGCAATGGCAGTGTTTCCACTCTTCGCTTCCACCCTCCCTTACAGTATGTCAGTTGCATACAATTTGTATATTGCACTTACTCTGCGCTTAACTTTTAATAAAGTTCACAGTAGCATACTATATTTTCCAATTTTTTCGTTTAAAACATCTTACAGCAAAAAAAAATGCCATCTTAAACTGTTGAAAATTATCATTATTTGGCATAGAATCAAATGCTTATATGTCAAATATATGGTGCTGAAGGTTTGAAAAAAAAATGGTATCTTATTATTTTATAAAATGGCCAAGTATTATCTACCTCATATCCAATAAGCTAGGGTTGGCTAGGGTAATAAAAGCGAAATCTACCATCCTCTTTCATCTAGCTAGCAAAGATAGTGTGTAACTTTGACTAAATTATTTCTAATTTGTGAGATGCCTGATTTTACTTTAAAAATTCTCAGCAGTAGAAATGCTGTCAATCAGTTCCATGTTGATATATTTCCATGTTCATTTTTAGTGGAGTATGTTTAAAGCCTAATAATATTTTATATCACTTTTCAGAAATTTTTCCATACGATTCTGCCATTTTCTTTGAAATCCTAATTACTCCTGTACAACAGCTTTCACTTCCTGTAGCTCTTTCACATATCTCATAGATGTACATAAAAATACTTTCAGGCTACATTTAAGTGTAGCATTGTTCAAATGTGATACAACACAGCAGAAATTTTATCCACTTGAAAATGAGAAGGCTTTTTCAATATAAAAGTGATCTGTTTCTACCTGGATGCTTTTTCTAGGGAATAAGAGGCTGCAGAAGGCTAAATTTTTGGTGATACGCATTACTCGTCCTACATAAATTAATTGCATTGATCATTAATTGTGGATGAAAAAGCTGTCCTTCGGATGAGAAGACTTTAAAACTAGCCTGAAAATCTTCGGTAGCTATTTTTATTGTGCTCTAGTATTTTTCTGTCCATAACTTTTATTAGCTATGATCTCGTTATGTTTGTTTGTTCTCTCAGTTTGCATATTCTTCATTCACGCTGCAGAATGTTGCCCTCAGTTTTTCGTTGTGGGACCCTTGCTACAGATAGCCCTTAGGAACCCTGTCCTTTTAGACAGTTGATCTGAGAACTTTTTTTTCCTTTCAGCATTAATTTTTAGGTCTCTTCAAAACTAATCTCAGCGCATACTTGTTTGAGACTTTTTCTGTCCAGTTTGCAGACTTTCCAGTGTCTTGCCTATCAGGAGCTCTAATTTAACTCCTGCTTTGCTTTCTAGGACGTGGTGGAAAGAGGCTGGCCCACTCTGATTCCTGTTCTCCACTAGACAGGAGAACTTTGTAGGGTTAATGTAGGGTTGATCTTGCATGTTTCCTTCAGTGTCCTATTTAGGTACCATATTTCTAGGTGTTTTTGTATTTGTGGACCTCTGTGCTATTAGTGTGGACGTGCAGGTTTTGCTAGGGAAGAATCCCAGCAGTAACACTTCTAGTGTTGATATGGTGTAGCATCTCAGCTTCTTTCTAGATTTGAGAATGTAGTTCTAGACTCCCATCAAATGAACAAAAAAGAAGAGGCTAAACACTCTTCAAACAAGTCCTGAACTGTAGGTCTGCCCCCATTGCATGATCCTTTCCGTGTTTCAATGTTACATTTTTTAAATGAATCCACTTGACCTGCTGCTAAAAAGGTTAATGATTCATTATTGGTATATGTGCAAATGAATCCGAATAACTTCAATCAGAAAACTCAAAGCAAAATTGAGCCAAGAGGTACTGATTTGACTCCTTGGTCAAAATGTGTTTTGATCCGTATCTTGAGAAAAATCCAGGTGAGAGATGGGATCTCGGTGTTATGGGTCTTTAAACAGAGAATGACCAAGTTCTGCGGGGAGGGAGTGATGTTCATGCCCGGCAGGAGAAGAGGGCTCTGGAATGCAAAATGGGTGGGCAGAAGAGGAGGATGGCAAGGGAGTCACACCAGAGTGCCAAACAACTGCAGCTTGAGTAGAGATTTTTCACCCAGTGGTGACAAAGAAAACTTTCCAGGGATCAGAGGAGACTGTGCAAAATTTGCTGCAACTCCACAAGCCAGTGGAGCCCCAGTGTGTAAGCAGTAACTCCCCTGCAACAGGAGTGAGGAATAACTTGTCTACAAAGGCAGAAGACACTTTAAAATATCATGGTGGCATGTGTAAGCAGTGAACCATAGTATTAGAAAAATAGGTATGATGTTTACAAATTTCCATATCTCTCTAAAAAAAATTGCAGGGAAAATGATAGTTTTCTCTTTAGTAGTACTAATAATAGGCTTTGAGTGTTCTCACGAGTTTCATGCAGTAAGGATCTGCTAAGCATTTAACTGCATGCCTTTTAGGTTTCAATGGAAGGAAGATAAAGACAAATAAAAAGTATTGAAAGAAGAGGTTTGGGGATTTCTGAGCTTGCTGGGTTATTTGGTTGAATTGGTGATTAGCAACCATACAGCAAACGGTATAGCGCTGTCTATACTTGGTGCACTACGTAGGAGTTTCTAGTACATTACTCATAGCTTGCTGCACTGTCTCAGAAATTGGCATGTATTTTTAACAGACAGAAGAAAGTGCTGTTATTTTGGAACTTAGACTTGTACAGCAAAGTTTTGAGCTTGAAGCTGTCTTGGTAGCCGTCATGGACTAAGAAGAAAAATTGTTGTTTTCCAGCTATTTGGACACAGAATTCGTTTCTCTGTCAGTTCTAGCTTTCTCACAGTATCAGCGGTTTGTGTTTTGTTTTTTTGTTTTTCTAAGTGAAAATCTAGTGAGAAGGAAAAACAAGCTTGCTCTGTTTACTCCTCGCAGTTTTCTAAGCAATACAGAAAGCTCACATGCTTACAGTTGTGTAAGCATGTGTGCGCTCTAGATCTCAGTCTTAGGTTGCAGGCGTTCTTATTCTGTGTGTACCTACCTACTCAGGGTGCAAATGAGAACAGCTGGAGGTGCAGAGAATGGTTACAACCAGTAGACCATAAAAAGTTGGCCTTCGTTATGTTTGCTTCCTGTGGTTTCACAGAATAAATTTAACTCAAAGGAGCAAACTGTAACATCACTGCTAGTGACATTCTTGATTAGTTTGTCTGAAGAGAACTCACTGGAGGAGAAACTTCTGCAATAGCACATGTTCATTTCTAGCAGGAGGGAGCAGGTTGGGCATAGGAGGGATCCTTTTGTTTGGACGACCGAGCTCTAATTGCTACAGGCTACAAGTACCCCAGAAGGTGTCGTCTTTTTTTTTTTTTTTCCCCAGAGGTTGCTGGCATACTTGATAACGTATATTTGTGCTCACTCGGTCATGTGTTAATCTTTAAAGAATAAGAGACAGACCAAATGGGAAAGAGCTGGAGCTAGCAAGGGAATCGTGCTTTGTTCATCTAGGATGACAATGTTAGGCGTAGGGAGCTACGGAGCATCACAGCTTTCCAACTGGGCGAAAGAGTCTGAGGGAAATTCATAGACAGGTTTGGAAAAGCAACGCTCATTTTACATGTGTAACTAACTTGTTTTTCCTTGTTTGCAGAATTTGCAAATGAAAAGCTACATTTTAATAGATTGCATTTTAATTATAGATTTCCTCCTCCCCAGTAGAATCTTTCTGTCATCAGGTCATGGAAATAATAATAAAGAATCCCTATCCCCCTCCTGCAGTTTTTCATTTCATTGTCATTTATGTTTACCTTGACGTGTAGAGTTTTCAATTTGAAATACGTTTCAGTGTGATTTCTCTCTCTCCTAGGCCTATTACTTTATCTTTATTATTTCTAGATACTGGATTTTAACTGTGGACCTTCTACTTTCAGTAGATTGCTTTACCTATGGAGGCTGTATATTTGGAATTGGCAAATGCTTTCTAGAAATGTTGCTTCCTCTTTGAAAAATGTACTTGCTTTTCTGCAAGTTTGCTAATATCGGGATATGAGTTTAACAAAGAAGGGTATTAGGTGGCATTCATCACAGGGTACGAGTTTAAAGTGTGTGTCCAGTAGTACTATTGCTCCAATTATCCCTGACCTTTCTTTCTAGCCTTGGGCTATGAGAGTATTAAAGACTGAATCAGGTATATTTTCACTCTAGTATTAGTTTAAGTAAATTTCTGAACAGAGCTAGCTGTTCTATTAGGGTTTTTCCTTTCTGCTAAGCTGCTAAATCTTTTGCCATGAAATTAAACTTAATTTTTTAGAAACTTTAACTAGTGCCCTTTGCTGTGTACCCATAATATTGCAACTGCAGTGGTAGTATGTGCCACTCTTTCACTACCAGGAAATCTTAGCTTTAAGCTACATGAATGCATGTTCTTTCTGCTTTAGATTTCAAGAGGCAATATAGTCAGAATATTTACTGTGGTCTGCTAATGTGCGTGTTCTGGGTTATTTTTAATACTATGCATCAAAATCAAA